AAATTCCGCTGCGCGTGCGATTGACTCGGTCGTCTAAAATCCAACACAACCTAAATGATCAATTCAAATTAAATCTTCCCTTATATGTTTCTCTTTCCTCCAATGTCGACCTACGTTCAACAAACAATGAAAATAAACAATATAGTACATGTTTGAATTAATCCTAAAATATTCTTGATCTTACAATCTCCCTCTTTGGCGTATCCATCGAAAACCCAATTCTTGAACTTCACTTGCAAGATTCATATTAAAAATAGAGATAAGAAGAGAACAAGTTGTTGGGATTTATAAGGATCGCCGCTAATGTGCAAGTTACAAATTTATATACGAATTAACTTATGCGTAACGGATCTATAGGTTAAGGTAGAAGACTCACGGTTCAATAATTTGTCGACTTTGAGACACTATAGATTTCTGTTATTGGAGACCGTTTGAACTTTCGAGTCCATTAGGCAGCCGGACTTGGCCTCGCTCGAGCTTCGCGGGTCGCGTGCGTGCGGTCGGGAGCAGTGGGCCGCAATCGTGCACTGGGGAGGATGTGGCGGGTTGGTTGGACATCGAGTAGGTCACTAAAGATGCGGGTCTACACGACGTCCGTGGGAGCGGGTCATGGCGTTGGGGCACGAGAACGTCGGGGAATGGCAGTTGGTCGCATCGTCGGGCGCTGGGAGCTCGCGGGTGTAGCGGGACATTGGGAACTGGCGCTGGGAGTTTGCGGGTATGCAGCGGTGGTGTCGCAGGTGAACGCGGGTCGTGTGGCGGTGATGGGTGGTCGACGGTGGTCGGGTGCTCAACCGGTTGTGTTGGGATCTATAAAGATCGCCGCTAATGTGCAAGTTATAAATTTAACTACAAAAATACCTATGTGCATCGGATCTCTAGGTAAGAGTAGAAGACTAAAGTTCAATTAGTTTTTGTTGACTCTGAGATGTCGCAGATATCCTTTGGAGAAGATCCTCTGATCACAAAGTTCGTTGAGCAGCTGGACGGACCTTCACGGAACTAAGTGAGTCGATGCGTGTGGACGGGAGCAGATGGGTCGCGTACACTATTGGGATGCATGTCTCGGGTCACCTGGCATCTAGCGGATTGAGAGGATCTCGCGGGTGCACAGTGTCGGGTCTCTGCGGATATGCGTCTCCGGGCGCGAGGATATCGCAGGTCGCAGGGAGCAGCAGGGCATCTCCAGATGCAGTGAGTCATCTACGGGAGCAGCGAGGCAGCGTCGCACTGTGCATGGTGGTGATCGGCAATCGACGGTGATCGGGTGCTCGGGTTTTCTCGGGTGCTCGACTACTTAAAGGTTTTCTATTGAATTACCTAACACCTCTAGAGCTCCCTTGGTAGGAAGGAGAATCTAGATATCTCTATGTGTGTTATGTCATGCAAGACTAGAGAATATGTGTATTTATAGGCCTCAATATGAACCCTAAGGAGACATTAAATTGGCTTCTCCTATTAGGACTTGACTATAGGTCAAGCCTACCAAGTCTAATAGGAATAATACAGTCATTCAACTAAAGTAGTATTATTGAAATACTCCTAATATCTTTCCTTGCCTCCATAATTGTGCCAAGTAAATACATTTTCTCACAGATTTTTATCTCGTATGAGGGTGTTTGTCTCTTGGAGATGAGAGGTCTTTCTCGGGGTAGGATGGTTTTCTTCGGGCTTCGAAGGTCCTTTTGTTGAGTGTGGTTAGGTTTCTTTATTGGGAGGTTTTTTGGGTTGGTCTGCTTTTCCTCGCTGCGTGCAAACGGAGGACGAATTAGGGCAACGGTTAAGGAAATTCACTATTTCAGAAACATAAAATCTAGTCATTGATAATGAAGAAAAAGATGTTCGAATTAGTGCTAAGGAGTGCGGTCGGAGCTTATTTGGCAAAGTAATCGAGGAGAAGAAAGCTAATTGGATGGGGATAAAGTGAACAACGAGTCTCTTGTGGAGATTAGGGAACGCTCTTGAGGTAAGAGAACTCAATTTGAACTACTTTCAATTCATCTTCCCAAGTAGAGAACCTATTACCAAGGTGGACTTAGGAAGGAGTTGGGTTTTTGAGAATCAACACCTTACTCTTCAAGAATGGAAAGAGGGTCTTTTTTATTCAACCCGAGCTTCGGAGAACTCACTTTATGGGTTCAAGCTAATGCATTCCAATAAATTGGTTGTGTACAGATGTGGGAATGAAATTGGGCTAAGTATTCAAAGGTATCAAAAATGTGAATCTAGCTCGTGTAGGGAGCCAATGGGGGCGTGTTATAAGAATACATGTGGTTCTGGATTTAAAGAGTCCTCTACCCAGATGGGATACTATTCGATTGTGCGAGCAAACAGTAACCGTTCAGTTCAAATATGAGAAGATTGTTGGCATGTGCTACTATTGAGGGAGGATAGGCCATATTCACAGAATTTGTGCTAAGAGATTGAACGATATTGCCGAGCAGGAAATCAATGAAGGACAGTATGACGATTGGATGAAGCCGTCTGAGGGAGTTGTGGTCTCTGAGTCTGCACCAGTTAGTAACAATAGTGACCCTTGTGAAAATAGGCCTAATGCCCCCAGTACTTCTTCAGACCGAAAAAATACTACCAGTCTACTGAAGGCCCTGAATTCCTAAGAGAGGTAAGTCCTATCTAAAAGGAATCTGAGAGTGGGAATAATTCAAAAAGGCTGTGTGTTGTGGAATCTTCATCCTCTATAGAAGGTTTGGAAGACTTAGATCCAAGAAAGTCGATCACCAATATATTGCTGATCACACCACCCTCAAGGGGAAAAGCCCTGATGCTGATCCCAGAAGCAGAAGGAAGCATGATGGAAATACAGAAGGTGGAGTTGGTAGATAAGGGCAGGAACATAGTGAAGCTATCAGTTCAATGGTTCACTGGTTGGACTAGTGGTCGAACTGGTTTAATTAATATATAATTTTTTTATATATTTTATATGTATAATATATAATTGCATATATTTTTTATCAAATATATACTGATATTTCTCTATATACAAAATAATTGTATTTAATTTTTATCATTAGTATTATATATATAATATATAATTGTATATATTTTTATCATTATCAAATTAAATGCTAAATTGTTAAACTTATTATGTAAGGTTTTTATTTATTTTGTAAATTATAAATTTTTAATAATAATATAATATATCTGATTTTATTTTATTTTATTTTTTAAGTTGGGGTTTTAGACATTGGTTTTGAATTTTGGTAACATTACAATTTCTATACGTTTGTACAAGAAAAAAAGAAAAGAAAAGCAAAGAAAGAAATGGCCCAAACATAAGTACATATAAGATATAACAGACTTTGTGATGTAGGAAAGCGTACGAGTGGGACAATATTAATGAGATCTTAATCTTTTCATTCAATATTAATGATCCACCGAAAAACACAAATGAAGAGGAGTCCTTTAAATAAAGCTCCTAAACTCTACTCTTAACTTGTCCAGCAAGACAAGATCTCTTACTAAATATTCTAATACCAATAATAAAAATAATAAATATTCTCTTACCAATTAAATACTAATCATAAAAAGAATAATAATAAAGGTAAATGGAAATAAATATATATCCTAAATCAATGATGCTAGACGATAGCTCCTCTCCATCATCCTCCCCCCGTTGGAGAGGATTCGCCCTCGAATCTGCGCTTCGCGGCGTCAACCGTTGTCCCAACACATAAACGCCGATCTGAAAGGGAACCTACCTCTGCCTCTCGACAACATTTGTCAACAAGACATATGGAAACATAGCTGAGTCCCAGTTAAGCTTTTTGATAAGGGAGCCCACTACTCCCACGCCTCCATTTCCGCCAACATAATGTGCTAAATACAACACATCCAGAACAGATGAGCTAAGATTTCTGTTATGATGTGGATCACATTCGCCAAAGCTCGGGAGATCATATGTAACCAACCAAATACCAAATTCTACCAACAGTTGAATTTCGCTACTCGGAACATGATGGAATTCCTCCAGCTCTAGAGGCTCCTCATCGAAAATTGGCGGACCGTCGTAGAGACCGTCCACTTCGTCGGTAAGACACTCCTCCACCTCTTCTGGCCCTTCATCAAACATCGGCGGACCGTCGTACAATGGCCCGTCAACTTGCTCTCCGTTGAATTCAGGAATGTCCCACTCATACGTCTTCCTCCACGTCCTCCGCGAAATCCCCCGCGCACGCCCCGGTTGCCGACATCATGGTTCGTCTGCAAATCCTCCACCATGTTGTTGATCATAAGATGCACTTCTTCGATCCCCGTCGAAAGATCCTCAACCCGACGATCCAATTGATTGATCTGGCGACCGAAGCCCGTGGCTTGTCGACTCGGATACTCAATGGTGGTGTCACGCCCGTCGATGTTGTCCTTCTGTGGCAGCATCCTGAATCGTGCTAACTTCTAATACCAACTGATGTAGGGAAGCGTATGAGTGGGACGATATTAAATCTCAAAACCATCTAAATATGATATCAAATCATCTTTCATTCAATAATTCATAATCCACCGAAAAACACAAATGAGGAGGAGTCCTTTAAATAAGGCTCCTAAACTCTACTCCTAACTTGTCCAACAAGACAAGATCTCTTACTAAATATTCTAATATCAATAATAAAACAATAAATATTCTCTTACCAATTAAATACTAAACATAAAAAAAAAATAATAAAGATAAATGAAAATAAATATATATCCTAAATCAATCAATGATGCTAGATGATATGGGCAATTTATATCTCGTCTCCATCACTTTAGATGTGCACAAAATGGCCCAATAAAATTCATTGAACTTTTTGAATTGGCCCATGCCACAAGCAAAAGGAGAGAGAATAAGAAAAGCAAAAAAGCTTTGTCCCACATCGGGAAAACATAATA